GATTATAATGGCAAATTGGTTTAAACTTCGCCAGAATTGAAGCGAGGAGCGAGCGGTGCAGCAGCTGCACGTCCTCAACCAGGGCTCAGGTGTTGGATATTAGGGCTTTTTATGACGGTACTTTAAGGGAAAAGCGTACATTATTCAATCAATTGAATCTCGCATTGATGAGTTCATTGGGAACGATGAAAGTCAATGGAGGTCGTCAAAGGAGACGAGAGTCCTTTGTCTGAAACGATATCAGAGGTGAAGGGCTGTAATTAGGATCAGGGTTATCAAGGACTCGCCTCAAAGCCCGACCCTAAATCCCAGGTGGGCAATTAGTCTGGATTCGGGCAGTTAAGTACAAAGCGAGGATCATCCATTATTCTCTTCAGTCTCATCATCATCATATACGAACCTCCCAGATTTTCCCCCTTCTCTATCCTCTCCCTGTGTCTGTTTTCAAAGTCGCTGGACAAGAGGAAGAGAAAGGGAAGAAATACCGGACTCTGGGAGAGACGCTGATAATTCCATTAGGGATGAAAAATGGGAGGATCGGAAGACGCAAAGCCGACTCGTAATGCTCCGGATATCCCCTCCTTCCTTCTTTCCCCCCATGCTCTGCCTCTTCCGTCTCTCTTTCTCTTTCTCTATTCAATGGATTATCCAAAAGTCATCCACCGGATTCGAAGAACAGAATAGCCACTCGTGCGAATCTTCCCCTCGCCCTTTTTCAATACAAACGGTCCATTCACTCGGAAAAACGAATGACACTTCCGCATCCAATCTCCTCAAGTCCACTTTCGCCTCTGACGAATGAAAATTTCATTGAATCGCAATTCTTTAAGACTCTTATGCAAAAAAGAAAAAAAATTAAAAAGGTAAAAACTATATTTAGAAAGTACAATACATCAAGCTATTGCTAATTACTGATAGAACGGAACCATTATCTTATCGAGAAAAATCTCCCCATTTCCCTGAGTCAAAAGACAAAAAGAACTGGCCAATACTTTTAGCGTGAATTTACTTTAAAACAAATTTAAATGAGCAATTATATTTGATTCTCAAGCTCCGAATGCCAAGAAAGTGTGTGAGGCTCTCAGGTTTTCATCAAAGCTCTTCTTACATAAAAACAAGTGAAACTAATGCGATTGTTGTGAGACTGTTATTTTGAGAAGACTGTTACTCTCCACTATCATCACCGATCACTACTGTTTCTCTTTTCTGATTCTGAATGTCCTGATTTCAGGAGATTTAGTATACCAGTGGCCAGTTACCTTTTTGGGTTCAGGGTAACCTCCTCAATTGGGCAGTTACACCTAAAACACCCAATTGGCGGAAATATATAGTCCTAGACCTAGTCCGCTGAGGAAGGTCTCTTTACCGAAACGTTGCGACAAAAATACATATTTAATTTTAGTTGGCTATCAGGTGCACCCTCCTTTCTTCCTATTCATATGGCCAACACGGGACAGCACTTTCAATATATATATATATATATATATATATATATATAACTGAATGCATGGTAGGGTTAACTGAATGCATGCATGGTAGGGCCTTTTTCCTGGGCTACGTTTTTTCTTGCATAGGCTTGTTTCGCAGCTAGCCTTCCCCTCCATTCTTCTTTTCTTTCATAGGCTAGAGCCATTCCGAGTCATGCTCTCGCTCCTTTTCCTTCATAGGCTCGAGTCTACCATGCATTTCAGTCGCGAGGCTGATCGAGCCAATCGATCGTTGGCTGTGGCACTGACAGACGGACTTAAGCCGTGATTGCCTCTGAGGCATTAGGTACTGTCTAACTGTTTAATTCTATAGGCCGTAGCACCTGGCAGTAGAAACTTTCTGGAGAGGGTTTGTTTGGACAGACTTGCGGCCTCAACCCCCTGATGACGCAGGCTGCCTGACAAATTTCTAGGATGAGATCCTTCGCTGTCCATTCTCTTTTTAACTTCCTTTAGCCTCGCCCCATTTCTGCAGGCTGTTTTGCCATAGATTAATTGCTATATGTCCTCTTCTTCTGGGCTAGGAGCCGGTCATAGCCTGCCTGTTACCTTGGGTGGCTATTGCTGGGGAAGGCATCACTGTTTTACTTTAATTCAATCTATAT